GTAAAGCAGAGTTGCTAATAACCATACTTCCCTCCCATGATGGTTGAAAGGAACAAAGTGGCCCCACAAACATGGTTAACCTCTGACTAACCCATCACAGCCCTTGCATGCAAAAGTTCACAGCTAGATATCCAATATGCTTCCTTCTTTTCTGTTGTAACGGGTTGACCTCTTATGGACAAAACTCTAGATAATAGAAATAGTCAGAAAAGGATGGGAGGCAATTGGCCTTCTTCCCCAACAGCCTGACCATTATTGGAATTGAGCAAAAACAGAATCTCCCATCCCTTGCACTTGCTCTTCTGATCCAGCAAGACCCAGGAAGGGACATCCATTGAAAACACTACTTTGGTTTTTTGGCCAGTCATTTTAAATACTTATTTGATCTTGGGTTTCTCCATTTGGGGACTGAACATTGTTTGAAAGATCCAATTAAATTTACTTCTTTCTCCTCTCTTGAAGCAGATTTGTCTTTGGATAACCTTGAATAAGGGTAGCAGACAAAGACTTATTCAAAAGCCCTGTTTTACTATCCAAAGCAATGGCCCCTGGTGGGACAGTAGCTTTGACTTTTATTTGCATCAGTGTCTCTAGGCACAGAGGAACATGCACCCAGAAATGTGATTTCCCAGTGTGCTTTTCTCCAGGACCATACCCTTTCGGGTATTAGTCACTCCTAACTCATAAAATCAAAACTAAAGCTATGTAAAAGCTAAAAATGGAAGATTTGTCACCCAGAAAGTACCAATAAATGTAGTCATATGGAANCATCAGTGTCTCTAGGCACAGAGGAACATGCACCCAGAAATGTGATTTCCCAGTGTGCTTTGCTCCAGGACCATACCCTTTCGGGTATTAGTCACTCCTAACTCATAAAATCAAAACTAAAGCTATATAAAAGCTAAAAATGGAAGATTTGTCACCCAGAAAGTACCAATAAATGTAGTCATATGGAAAGACGAGTTAAGCCAAACCTGTCTTTCCCTTAGAGATAATTTCCTCTTATGTCTCATAAGTTACCATGTTTCTTCTCCTACAAATCCTTCCTGATACAGAGAGCTAAGCCCTGCTATTTATTCCTCCTTTAGGAGCCCAGAGGCTCTTTCCTCACAGTAAAATGAAGCTGTCTGATTCTCATGGAGAGTCTTTTCAAAAGACTATCTCAGCTTGTCCAGTTGTTGGGCTTTACCACTGGAACAACAGCCTATGTGTAGACTGTGGCTACAGATATTTCTTTCTTCTGTATTACTTAATAACATAAACACAAACAATAAAAACACTAACCAAAACACTTGAAAGTAATTTTAACATTAACAATAAATTCCTACTACTACTACTA